ACAGCTGTAATTGTTGCCAAAGGTGGTCCTACCAAGTATTAACTGGGTGGGAGCTAAATGCTTGAGCATTCAATTATTTTCTGTTTTTTATTTTTACTTAGTAAAATGTCTGGATTTTTTTTCCACTTTGAAATTATAGTACTTTGTGTTGATGAGTGGCAAAAAGTCTCAGTTAAATATAACATGGTTCCATGCTGGAACACAATAAAATGTGAAAACATCCAAGGGAAGTGAATAGTTTTACAAGGCAATGTAAGTGAACTGATTGCATTCTTTAATCAGTTTTACTTCTGTATTTCTTTAAATCCACTAAATATGGATATGGATGGAACTAAACAAACAGTTTTTTGCTAAAAAAATATAACTGAAGTATAATTACATTTTTAAATGTCAATAATGATAATCTTTTTATGAATTATAAATAGTGAAAATTATGATCTGCATATATAGCTGATAATGATAGCTGAAAATAAGGTACACAATAGTATTGCACCCTCTGCTTAAAACATTTTTTTCAGCAAAATCTTCAACTTGGTCCCTTGCTGTGGGTATTCTAGGTTTTTTTCTTGTAATGGAAAATGAAACAATGTGGCGCAACAGTGTTACACTGTTTTTCACCTTTTTGTGTGGCAGGGTTCAATCCTAGTCAATACAAACATTGTTCTTTCAACAAACTGTCCTTTATTTTTAAATGATTAAATTTAAAATCTGTAACATGTTTTCTACTGCCCTTTTTTCTTTTTAGTACTTGATATAATTATGGTTTTTATAATAATTTGCCTTTACCAAAGTTGTTAGAGAGCTTTCTCCTGTAGCACCAATTTCAACTTTAATCATGTAACAATGGAGGGGGTGTTGCATGCATTGGTGGTTGCATTGTCTCCTCACAGTGGGGGAAACTGGGTGTGGGCTGCACTCTTATTTGCACTCTTTCTTCCCTTGCAGTACATATGAAAAGGTCTTTGTGCTGTAAAGCCAGTTACATGTATATCAATTTGCAGTAATATAACTGAACATGAAACTAATGTTCAATAAAACAATCAGCTATAAAGGTTAAATTTAATAAACTGAAAATAACTTTGTTTTAATCTGACATGTCCCCAATACACATTCCCAATATACTCAATTCAATTCAACTTTCACAATTCAAGTGAAAAGTATTTCTCATTAGTTTCTCAGGTGCAGTATATATATATAGAACAGCAGACAAGACAATAGACAGAAATACAATAACAATAACAGTGTAAACAACAGTATGGTGTCAGTGCAAAATTGTAAAAAAACTGCACAAATACACAGAAATACAGAAATTGTATACAAACATGGCAAAAACAGTGCAAAATAATACAGCGATTATTAAACAGTGCAACTAGTACAGTTTTAAGTACTCTCTAATGTTGCATTAGCTTAGGAATTCCAAATCCCATAAAAGCCACAGGGTGACTTCCTAGTGGCATCTACATGTCCTGGTTACTGTACAGTACACAACAAATTAATTCAAATGACTACTCAAAAGTTTTGTTTTAATCTGGCCTCTTTTTTGTTTTTTCCAGTACATGTTAATTTTATTACATGTTTTTATAAAGCCACCATGTCTAATGTTTTTTTTAATTATTATCTTAAACTCTCTATTAATAAAATCTCATAAATGATATGCATATGTGAAATATTTAAGGGGGGGCGGAGCGGTGGTTCTGTGGTTAAGGATCTACGCCTGTGGCTGGAAGGTTGCCGGTTCAAATCCCACAGGTGGCAGAGGAATCCTGCTAAATTGGGCTCCTGAGCAAGTTACATTCTATTTGCTTTACATTCATGATCTCTTAAGCCCGTAGAAGCTACTAGTTACTTCGGACATATCAGTTATTAGACTGAGGAAGAAGGGCAAGAGACAGCAACTTCAGCCCCACTTCCCACCTCCTGGACAGACCGAGAAAGCAATTTGGAGGTGTTAATTATGCAGTCATTACAAAGGGTGCAGTGTCGCAAAGATGAGTGCTCTTTTTCTCCTAGTTAGAACATAGGAGAATCTATTTAAATTAAAATTCATATTATATCACTATATAAAATAAAGTTTATTATTACATTAAAATGTTTTTTAATTACTTTATCTTTAAAATATAATGATAATATCGCATTCATAGTATAAAAACGTCACAGAGTGATGTCACATCCCAAAAAAGAAGATGCTTTATCTCGTGTACAAAATGCAGTCAGTGTCATTTCTAGTGCCTTAGCGGAGGTTCATAGGCAGGGGTAACTTTACGGAGCTCAATTCCTGGGTTGTGATCTGTGTGGAGTTTGGGTGTTCTCCCTGTGTTCGCGTGGCTTTTATCCCACAGTCTAAAATCATTCCAGTAGGTTAACTGGCTACTGGGAAAAGGCCTTGTGTGAGTGTGAGCTTGTTTGTGTTTGTGTCTGTGCCTGTGTGTGCCTTGCAATTGACTGGCATTCCGTCTAAGGTGTATCCTACCTTGCGTTCATTGCTTGCCTGGATAGGCTCCAGCTCAAAAGCAGTTAGAAAATGGATTTGTGTATTTATCATTATAAAAATGTTCCAATTAGAATACAATATGCAAGATATTGTCCTGAAAATTAGTTTACTTAACACATACAAATGTTTTCAAATATTACTACACTCTGTATGTGTGATATGGTAGTGTTTCCAAAGTTCTTTAACTACTTAGTACATATTGCTGGTAACAAAACATATAATCAAATTTCCTGGTACTTTTCCATGTTTATGTATTTGCTTTTCATAAAATAGTTCAGTTAATAGTAAAATAGTAAGTACAAATACTGTAGTGATTCCGGAAAATGAGCTTTTGAAACTATTTAAAATGTTTCTTATAGACTTAGTTGTACAGAAGTTTATTAGCGCCACGGAGAAAAAAAAACGAATTTATATGAGATTATATCATTTTTATATGGGAAAATTATCTCATTTATATGAGGAAATTATTCCATTTAAACACAATACTTAATTTGTGAACAATGTTGCCCACTATCTTAATACTGTATATTGCATTGTACTGTATATTAAATTATATTGTCCTGTGCAAAGTAGCATTGACTTTAACAACAGTAGAATATCGTCACACTTGATAAAAAAACGAGCATGTGTTCTGTTTTTCATATACATGAAGTACAACACCATGAAAGTGAGCATTCCTTGGTTAAACACGTTATTTCCATCATTTCTATGACAAGTAGAAATGACACGGCTTTCCAAACATATGATCTTCTTGATATAAAGCTGACTGTCAAGTTATTCTTCTTATTCTTTCAAAATTGTTTCTCACAAACTTTTGCAAGCAATGAAGGAACAAAGTATTTGTCTGTGACCTGATAATTCAGCTGCAAGAAAACTGTTTTTTTCTATGTTGATTACTAACATAGCACTCAAGAGTACAGAACCCTAATGTATGAGATTTCAACCAAAAATTGAGATTGCATGCTGTTTGTATTGATAGTTTATTTTAGTCGCATACAAAAAACACATTTCATAGAATTGTGCGTCTCTACAACAATTTCAAAATTTTACATTCATTATTTTTTTGAACAACCTAGACTTGATGGAAATGCATGAGATTTTCAGACTGAGGTGTTAGTCCATGACATTTGGTCAGAATGCTTGAGGCTTGATAGTACAAGGCTTGTTAGATACAATTACATAAAAGATATTGCGGTCTATTACTATTGTAGGAGTTTGTGTGAATTTACTGACACAATATTTAGTTGTAACAGTAGATTGTATGAGTTTACTTTGCCTATTAGGAATCAGCAGAACAACAAGGAGTCTTTACAAGGATTTACGACACACAGAATACATTTATTGATACGTAAAATAAATGTGTACATAAAAACATTACAAATATCAAGCTTGTAGCAAGTATACAAAAAATATACATAAAAACAATGATATTCCTAATTAGTCTCATTAAAATAATCAACATTCAGGAGCTCTAACTATGGCTATTTAAATCAATTAAATAGATATTAACACATTATTATAACAGTTTTATTCTTGAGTGGGTAAATTACACTAATCCACGACTGTAAATTTGCACAATGGGGGAACAGCCCACAGATGTCTGGACTGTCCTGGAAAAGATTCTATGCAAAAGATAAGCTCATCTCCCTCACTTGCTCACATGCAAAGACCACTTGGTCAGCCTGTGGCTGAGATCACAGAGAGAGGCCTCTTTGGGTGCATTCCTGAGACAGGCAACAGGCTGGGACAGGCACACATACTGTAGATCACTAGAAATACTTAATATAACTTAATTCTAAAATAATAGTCCTTGTCCCTACACGACTAAACAGTATTTCACTATGGATTCTTGTGTATATATTTTATTAGTATTTATGTATTTGTTTGGCCAGGTGGCACAAACGTTTCACTTTCTTACTGCCTGAAAATACAGTAAGATATGCTTATTGGAGCATGCTTTGTACAGCAGAGGTGAATGGCAAAAGGAAGAGAGAGGTTTTGTTACCCATGTTACAGTGTCATCAAATTGTGGAGTTTTTGACTCTCTATCATCTTTTAGCCAGTTTAAATCCCATTGGAAAACAGTATTTTTTTAGAATAAATACATTTATTAATCAAATTAGTTTTTAGTCCAGTAGTTTTCAAATTTAATTTGTATTGTTGTTTTCGGTTTTGTTGCTTTTTTTATATTACACATTTTTATTTGTATTTAAGCACTTTGAGTTGCACCAGCATGAATACTTCTACATTTATATTAGTAGAAGTAAGATACTACTGTAGGAATTTGACTCTGGTCTCTGAGTGATGGAATCCTAGGTAGGTTTACAGGTACTGTATATTCCAGTAAATTACCATATCCACATAAGCACTTTAGATTTAAGATTTAAAGTCAGTCCTGCTGCCCTTCCTAGATGAGTTCCACATTTGTGTGCAAAATGAGATGCTGACACTGTGACATTTAGACTACAGTGGATTCTTGAATGTCTGTGCATGTCTTCCTTCGCCCCAGCCTATGAGCCCCTGGCCCCTCCGCTTCCCCCCGCGGCCACGGCGGTGCCAGTGTGGCAGGACCGCACCATCGCCTCCTCCAAACTGCGTATGCTGGAGTACTCTGCTTTCATGGAGGTGCAGAGAGACCCTGACACGGTAACTTCCCTCGGTCATGCTCTTCCCCCTGTGTCCCCTTCCTAGTACACAGTGGTTTGGCTAGTTACATTGATCCCAAGTATCTGATGCAGCTGTTTCATGAACGTAGTCAAATTTCAAGCTGTCAGGTCAGAATAAGTAAATATTTTCACATGTGCCTAGGTAGCAAATAGTAGTTAATGTGGCTGTTGTCTACAAAACATCTGTGATACTTGTAAGAGGCAATCCTGTAGTAAGCAAAGGAACAAGTAATAGGTTTGTTCCATGCTGAAAAAAAAGAAGAAAGAGAACACAACGTTTCAGCCGTGGAGCCTTCTTCAGGTGTGTCACCTCCACGGCCGAAACATTGTGTTCTCTTTCTTCTTTTTTTCAGCATGGAATAAACCTATTACTTGTTCCTTTGCAGCCTACACATGCTGAAGCAGCTATCCACCTGGACTACTATCTTGTAGTAAGGTTGAAATTGAGTTATAAAGCGTGCATATAATTTGAATAAACCTTGCTAGACAAGAACTTAATTATTGTCATTCATGTCTTGCTGCATCTGCCTATTGCCTTCCCACACACTATTAGAATTCAGTCATCTCTTATATTCTTAGACAGGATCTTGCTATTAATGCATTACCAAGATACAGTACTTAGTTTGAATCTGGTCTAATGGACACCCCAAGATCTGAGCTTTCACATTTCCCCATAGGCAGAAGGGAATCCAGCCACCTTATGATACCAGTACCCTTTCTTGCTTTTAATATTTTCTGTTATGTCACAATTATGTACTAGTTCCTTTATTTTTTTGTGGGATTCAGTTGGAGAAGCTGAACCAATTATATGCAATTGTGTTTTCTTTGCACATTATAGTACAGCAAACACCTGTTTGTCCACATCGGGCAGACTAACCCCTCATACAGCGATCCACTGCTGGAGGCAGTGGATATCCGACAGATATACGACAAGTTCCCTGAGAAGAAAGGAGGACTGAAGGAGCTGTATGACAAAGGCCCACAAAATGCCTTCTTCCTTGTCAAGTTCTGGGTAAGAGGAATCAGATAAACATATACAAATGTGAGAACATTCTGTATATATCATGGTCTTCTGATTATTTGGAATTTCTATTTTTCCTTGTGGATTACAGAAGGAATAACATCCTTACTGTTGAAAAGTACTTCTCTTATTTTACATCTTACATATATTCCCTTTAAATTTCCACTTTTGTCCTCGAGTCACTATTTCAAAATGGATTCTGAATTAGTCCATGTTTGGTTCTGATTTTGTCTTTCAGCATTTTAAATGCTTATTCAAAGTATTTTTTTATTTTTATTGAAGAATTGCATGTTGTGAAAGTATTCATTGTAATTCATTTGAGATCCAGGAATTTATGTGGGCAGCATGGTCGTCCTGTGGTTAGTGGCTTGCCCTGCTGCCTTGCAGTGCTGAGGCTCTGGGTTCGTTTCCTGGGTTGCTATCTGCATGGAGTTTGTACGTACAACCTGTGTTCTTGTGGGTTTTCTCTGCGTGCTCCAGCTTCTTCCCACAGTCCATAGACATATTGGTAGGTTAATTGGCTGTGGAGAATTAGGCTCTGGTGTGAGCGTGTGAATTTGTCTCTGTGTTTGCCCTGCAGTGGACTGGCATCCCATCCAGGGTGTATGCTGCCCAGTCCAAATTGTATCATTTTAAAACTCTTCCCAACACATTTATTTTGCAATACCATGACACATTAAAAATATTATAGTTTTAATCTTTAATGTTGCCATTGTGTTATATAAAACAATTTCAGTCTAAATAATATTTTCAGGTGACACGGTGGTAGAGTGGTTAGCATTGCTGCCTCGCAGTGCTGGAGCCCCGAATTAAATTCCTGACCCGGGATGTTACCTCCGGGATGCTACCTGCGTGTAGTTTGTACATTGTCCCCTTGTTTGTGTGGGTTTCCTCCTGGTGCTCTGGTTTCCTCCCACAATCCAAAAACATGCTGGTAGGTTAATTGGCTTCTGGGAAAATTGACCCTAGGTGTGTGTTCAATCTGAGTCTGTGTGTCTGTCCTGGAATGGACTGGCATCCCATCCAAGGTTTATCTTGCCTGTTATTTGCAGGGATAGTCCCTGGCTCCCTGTGTTCCTGAATTGGTAGAAGTGATTAGAAAATTGATAATATTTTCAAATGGTCAGCAGTACTGCTCCTTCTATCATTTTTGAGCAGGGATGGTGGTGACTGAGTAATGCACTATGTTGAGTTTGTGTTAGATGTAACACTGTACCAAAAAAAGTAAGATGCTTTATTTTCAGTTTATACAAGTCACCTTTAGAAGTGGCTGGGATATTGTTGATCTATGGACATTTTCTTCTTTCTCAGCCAAAGAACTCTGTAACTTTCAAATATGCCATTGGCTTCATGATGGCATCCTTAACCAGATTCCTCCTTGCCTGGCTTCTCAGTTTGTATTGACAGCCAGATCCAGGCAATTTCTGGGTGCCTTCTACATCTTAATCATTGGATTCACCACACTGAATCTAGAATGTTTTTCATAGCCTTTTTCTGATCTGTGCCTTTATACAACCTTATCCTTGAATTGTTTTGAAATCTTTTTGGTCTTTGTGGTTGACTCTTTGCTTGAAATTCACAAAGAGTCTGTAAATACACCTGTAAGGAACCTCACAGAGACAGATGTATTTATTCTGAAATCATGTGAACAATTGTTATTACTCACAGACATAGACCACTTAAATAATTGGCTCATTAAGGTAATTTTGTATTTGTTTTTGTTTTGAATGTGTGGAGTAGGTAGTATAAATAACAGATTTTAATTGCTGCTTCAAAGTGTCATGACTGCAAGCTTTAAAGCAACAAAATGTGATCATTGTTCTAATTGCTGAAAAGTATATCACAACACCTGAGCTATATCTGTCACTACTTGCTTTGTCTAAAGTATGTTACTTAAACAGGACATTCCTTTCCTCTTAATCTTTTAACTATCTCCTAGAATACTATTGCCATGCAGATGATCTAGTTTTGTTCTAATTATCTATACCCTAACATATGATAAGTAAGACATGTTTGTCTATAATATTGTACAGTTCTGTAACCCTTTAATGGATGGGTGCTACATTATCAACTTTCGGGTCATTGAGTATTACCCCTTTCTTAAGATATTGCTGGAAGAGTTTTGCTAATGACCTATGGATTATTTCTTTAATGTTAGTTGGTATATTACCATCATACATCATACATCTACTGAAAATCCTTACCCCATCTTGGTCCAAGGAGCAGTCCTTGGAAAATGACTTTCCTTGAACCATAGTATGATACAAATACCTCTGACACACCGTTTCAGCCGTGGAGCCTTCTTCAGGTGTCAAGGATGGTGGAAGGTGGAAGGCTCCATGGCCAAAATGTTGTGTTTTCTTTCTTCTTTTTTTTTCAGAAAGGAATAAACCTGTTCCTAAGTCAGTAAAAGTGAGCCATGTACAGTATGTAGGAGAAGGAGGTATTTTCTGGAAATCTATTTTAAGCTGACTCACTGCACAATGGTAGTTCCAACTCATCAGGACCTCCTTTTGCTTTGAAAGTGATGGGCACTTCAGTTCAGTCCTCAGCTCTCACACATTGACAGAAGTGGATTGTAAAGTTGAAGATTGAATTAAACCCGGAAAGCAGGTGTTCTGACGGAGTGTGTTTCCTGCAGGCGGACTTGAATAGCAGTGTGCAGGATGGCCCTGGCTCCTTCTATGGCGTCAGCAGCCAGTACAGCAGTGCAGAGAACATGACCATCACCGTCTCCACTAAGGTCTGTTCCTTCGGCAAGCAGGTCGTTGAGAAGGTCGAGGTAAGTCTGCTTGTCCTTGAGGAAAACTCCTTGTTCCCCCTTTACTATACCTGTCCATTGCATTTGTTACCACCCTTCTTTTTAAATTCCTTTAGACCTAAGTCTGAGCAAAGGTGTTAACAAATCAGAGGTTTCTCTACTCATGAAAAGGCAGAAGTTAATCAAAGCCCACAACAAATTCCACATTTAAAGAAGATGACTGAGACAACTGACAACTTAAAAAAATATTGTATGCCTGTTATTTTCTTAATTGTCATGAGGTGATAATTGACATTAGTAAAAAAAACACACTTTGCGCAGAGAGCTGTAACAAATTAATGCATCAGGTTTAATCACACATAATAAACCTTTCATCCCACTAGCCATTAATAAGATTTAGTTTTCTGAAATATAACTTCACTGTTTTCTGTGCTCATAGAACCATAGCTCCATTTTATAGTTACTTAGTTTTGGGCACTTTAGAAATTAAATGATATGTGTACAATGGCTTTGCATGTTTCTTACAGACGGAGTATGCCCGCATGGAAGGTGGGAGATATGTGTACCGAATTCATCGCTCTCCCATGTGCGAATATATGATCAACTTCATCCACAAACTCAAGCATCTGCCAGAAAAGTACATGATGAACAGTGTGCTGGAAAACTTCACTATTTTACAGGTAATTCTAAGAAAACTAGGTTGCCATTTCAGCAGAAAATACTGCTCTTTTAAAATATTCCCCTTAAGTGTACTTAAATTAGATTATTTTTTAGGTAAACCCAGGGGCATTAGTTCTGAAGTCTCTCTGTAGGCTTCAATTTTGTAGATAGAAGGAAAATAATTTGCCTATACTGTATAGTCTTATTTATTTATGAGTGGGTTGCAGCTGTGAGTAGACACTGGGATTTTGGCCTTTTAATTAAAAATTAAAAAGGAGGAGGGCAGACTTGGAAATTGAATTCAAAAGAAAAAAGCAGTACCATACAGGAAATATATTCACAGCAGTGGTCTCGGCCAACTTTTAGCCTGTGTAACCTTTTTTGCCTTTTGTAGTACTTGTTTTTTATATACCACTTTCTTTTTAAGTGGCAAGTGAAATATATTTATTCTTTACTGCAGTACTGTAGTTTGCTTTGAAGATGTAAAAGTAAAAGAATGAACACCAAAGAATAATTTTTTTGATTTTAGTTATAGAATGATGCTTCGTTTTTTGCACTTTAAGGATTACGACTCAAAATAAAGCCATTTAATTACGAACCTCATTGTTTTTCTTTCCTTCAGGTTGTGACAAACAGGGACACCCAAGAAACATTGCTTTGCATAGCATTTGTGTTTGAGGTCTCAACGAGTGAACATGGGGCTCAATATCATGTCTACCGGCTTGTCAAGGACTAAGAGGTCCTTGTGAGAAGTGGGTGCCGTCCTTGTGCTGCCTGACAAAAAATTTATAAAGCCAAAAAGAAAAAAAATACAGAAAAGTGAAACTTACAAAAAATCTTTTATAGCACGGTGGGTATTTTCTATTACCATAACAAATTTTGTAAAATAGGAATTTATGAAGTTTGAAAAAACAAAACTATGCACTACTTTGTGTAAGGGCAAATTGTTTTTTATATTTAAATGTTTTTTTTTTTAAATAAGCAGGTTGCATCAGTAATTTTCCTTAAAATATATATATTTTCAGGGATGTTGTTAACCTTTTTTTCTGTGCTGAGGGAAGATAGAATAAGGTGGTATAAGAATTAAAGAATGTGTTGGAGTTTCAAAAGCCTTCCTTACAAATTGGACCTAGTGCCACTCAAGTCAAGAGGCCTGTGGTTAAACAGAACAGGTGCAGAAGTTGAAGAGGCTCAAGCAAAGTGAATTGCCTTCAAAAGAGCATGTAAAGAGGGGATATATATGTTGTTTGCCTTCAGCTTCAGTAGAGAAGGCTCACAAATTTAAGTGTGGAATGGTATGTGGATAGGTGAAGCAGTATAGTAGTACCCTTTTCTAAATATTCTGTGAATGCTCATTTTGGAGCACCTTTCAACACTGATGACTACCTCTTCTCTGCTAAAATTTAGTTTTAGAAAACAAAACAACAGAAATTTGATTAATACAAGTAATTGCCTAGTATTAAGATTCTGGATTTCTGAATGCTCTCTTCTGCCACATCATTTAAACAAAGCAGGAGCTGAAGATTATGAGCCTTTGTCAAATTTAACTGAAACACAGTAAAGCAAATGGGCTTCTGTACATAGTTCAGCCTTTCCTTTTTGGGAATTGGCTGTAGAACATTACAAAAGGGTTTTAATTATTGTTTGTTTGCTGTATTTCTTTTTAATGAGTACAATGCAGATTAAATTTGTGCCTAATATTTCTACCTCCTGGTGCATTCTTTTTTCAAAAAGGCTAGAGAGCAGTTTGGAAAGCTAGGATTGGGTAGCATTGTAACCTCTGACCCAGAGAGTCCCAGCACTTATTGGTTTCATTTAGACTGTAACACAGTTACCATTACCTTGTGTATTTTTTACTTTCAAACATTAAGTTTTTTTTAATTCTATCTTTATAGAAGGGGGTACTGTATATTTCAACCCAGACTAAAGTAAAATATTTTTAAGCTGCCATTACATGGACTTATCAATTTAATATAAAGCTTGTAAGCTGTGGGAGGACATGTTACATAGGAATAGTCTGTGGGTATCTTTGTATCTTTTATCAAATGCTCAAAATTGCCTAGACAGCACAGAGACAATGGCTTTTGTTTGTTTTTTTGTGTGTGGGAATATCAGTGCTTGTACATGGAGAAGCACTGATGTCTTTTTCAGTTTCTAAGATATATTTATATTTTAGAAAATGACATAATTGAGAAATAGCATTTAAAAAAGCCCTATATGATGCTATGTCAGTGCAAAAATGTGATATAATGCATAAGAGAGCATTTTGGGCTTCACTTGATCTTTTTTTTTTAAATACATACAACTCTTACAGATTGTTCTGTAGTAGATGCTTCTGTGGAAAATCCTATCTTTAGATTCACAGTGTCAGTCATTTCCAGGTTTTATACATTGCTTTATTGTAAGTTGGGCTTTTCCTTAAGTCAATTCAAACAACAATGTACAACGCAGGAACTGAAAACTCACAACTGGGAAAGTTTCCTGTGTTTGCTTCTGTAAAAATATCTGTACACATTATGTGTGCATTCTGAATGAGAATCTGTGAATTACGTGGTGCCAGGTTCAGTGTCCAGTGTTTGGTAAACCAAAAAAGTAATCTAAATTAAATTTCTGTGTGTAAATTATAGCAGCTCATATAACATTTGGTGCCCTTTGCCTTGACCAAATAGATTTTTTCTTCCTAACAGTGGACAAGTGTGCAATGGAAGCTTACTGTGACCAAGCACACAATAAAAGAAAGAAATGGGATCACAGTTGGCATCTCTGTAGTACATCTGTATTTAGGTGCAAGTAAATGTGCTTTGTAGTGAAGTAAATGAAATACAAAATCCATCAAACACGACTTAGAATTGCCCAGACTGTGAGTGTCCTAAAACCACAGTACTTTTCCTTTCCTTAGTTTCTGATGTTGTCAAGTAGCAATATTAATTGTAACTCTTAGCTACCTGTTTTGGTCTCCGCTGTTGTCACTGTGCTGTATTGTGACTGTTAATTGTTATTTAAGGGGGTGGGTTGTGGGTGTTAGATTGGGGGAGGTGAATAAGGTTACCTTTTTTGAGCAGCAGTTGGTGAGAGAGGGAAACTACATTTCCTGCATGTGTTGCGTAAATAGTGGAGGAAGACCTGAGCAGAGGACTGAAGATCTGATGCTGGAATGATAACGACACTAGTCAATCTGAAGGGCCTGGGAACATAACTGACAATGTCTGTGAAACACAGTTCTTAGGACTTTTATTTTCATGTGCCTACTGATGCAGTGCCTTTCTTGGATGGCTTTTTTGTATTTGATTTTTTTTTAGCCTTTTTTGGAGACTTTCAGTGGGAGCTTCTGTATTGACAAGCTAAAGCTTCCTTTGGAAATGGTGTGTGCTGATGTTTTTGATATTAAATGAGGTATGTTTAATGTATTTTAAATGGGGGAGGAGGGGAACTTTTTCTAATGTGGTGATGCAGTCTGGCCTTGGTTCCCAATTGTGCAGTGTATTCTTGTATATTCTGTTGTCTACAATGTGAGGGGTTGTATCATATAATCAGTGTATTATGTATAATCTACCAATAAAAACGCATGGTGCCTCTGGAGCCATTTTCTTCTAGAAGCACAGGAAGCATTTGTTAATTGCACATTTATTGCCTTTAGATCAGACTGAGGACATTTTATGCACCTACAGTACTTTTCTTTTGAAGGAGTGCTCATGTTTGAGTGGGTGGTGAAGTTGAGTCTTTTTCGCATCTATGCTGTCTAACCCTTTATACTGTATATTCATATGAAAAAAGTGACCTGATTCAGAAGGTGGCCTCTGAAGAGAAGTGAAAATGGAAAACTCAAAAGAAGATGTTATAAATGTTTCATTTATCAATAATAATAACATGACTGTGGAATCAATTATTAAGTACTTCAAGTGCCTCCATGATTACTCCAGATTGTAAAACAGAATTTAACATAAGGTAATTATGTACTATTATCTATCCATTTTCTAACCCTTTCTAACAGGGGAGCCATAGTCTATCCTGGCAAGTAAAGGGCACAAGGCAGGATATGCCCTGCATGGGATGCCAGTCCATCCCAGGGCAAATAGACAGACATGCACATATTCACATCTGGCCCATTATTCGCAGAAGCCAATTAACCTACCAGTATATCTTTTGACTGTGGGTGGAATCCAGAGCAACCAGAAGAGACCCATGTGTACAAGGTGAGAACATACAGTATAAACTACAAACAGCATATCAGGTCAGGAATTGAGCCCAGGGCGCAACGGTGCAAGGCAGCAAAGCTAACAACAGCACACCTGTGGCCCCTAGTAACAGCACAACTACACCCCACACAAATTTATATAATAACACATACAGTGGTGTGAAAAAGTGTTTGCCCCCTTCCTAATTTCTTATTTTTTTGCATGTTTGTCACACTGAAATGTTTCAGATCATCAAACAAATTGAAATATTAGACAAAGACAACACAAGTAAACGCAAAATGCAGTTTTTAAATGAAGGTTTTTATTATTAAGGGAAAAAAAAATCCAAACCTACATGGCCCTGTGTGAAAAAGTAATTGCCCCCCCTGTTAAAACATAAATCAACTGTGGTTTATCAAATCTTTGGAAAGCTGAGTTCAATTTCTCTAGCCACACCCAGGCCTGATTACTGCCACACCTGTTCTTAATCAAGAAATCACTTAAATAGGACCTGCCTGACAAAGTGAAGTAGACCAAAAGATCCTCAAAAGCTAGACATCATGCTGCAATCCAAAGAAATGCAGGAACAAATGAGAGACAGAGTAATTTAAATTTATCAGTCTGGAAAAGGTTATAAAGCCATTTCTAAAGCTTTGGGACTCCAGGGAACCACAGTGAGAGCCATTATCCACAAATGGCGAAAACATAGAACAGTGGTGAACCTTCCCAGGAGTGGCCGGCTGACCAAAATTACCCCAAGAGCGCAGCGACGACTCATCCAAGAGGTCACAAAAAAAACCCACAACAACATCCAAAGAACTGCAGGCTTCACTTGCCTCAGTTAAGGTCGGTTTTCACGACTCCACCATAAGAAAGAGACTGGGCAAAAATGGCCTCCATGGCAGAGTTCCAAGACGAAACCACTGCTGAGCAAAAAGAACATAAAGGCTCGTCTTTTGGGAAAATACTCTGTGGACTGACGAGACAAAAGTTGACCTTTTAGGAAGGTGTGTGTCCCATTACATCTGGCGTAAAAGTAACAGCATTTCAGAAAAGGAACATCATCCCAACAGTAAAATATGGTTTTGGTAGTGTGATGGTCTGGGGCTGTTTCGCTGCTTCAGGACCTGGAAGACTTGCTGTGGTAAATAGAACCATGAATTCTGCTGTCTACCAAAAAATCCTGAAGGAGAATGTCCGGCCTTCTGTTCGTGACCTCAAGCTGAAGCGCACTTGGGTTCTGCAGCAGGACAATGATCCAAAACACACCAGCAAGTCCACCTCTAAATGGCTTAAGAAAAACAAAATGAAGACTTTGGAGTGGCCTAGTCAAAGTCCTGACCTGAATCCAATTGAGATGTTGTGGCATGACCTTAAAAAAGCGCTTAAGGCTCGAAAACCCTCCAATGTGGCTGAATTACATTATGAGTGGGCCAAATTCCTCCACAGCGCTATAAAAGACTCATTGCCAGTTATCGAAAACACTTGATTGCAGTTGTTGCTGCTAAGGGTGGCCCAACCAGTTATTAGGTTTAGGGGGCAATCAGTTTTTCACACAGGGCCATGTAGGTTTGGATTTCTTTTTTCCCTTAATAATAAAAACATTCATTTAAAAACTGCATTTTGTGTTTACTTGTGTTATCTTTGTCTAATATTTCAATTTGTTTGATGA